CCCCCCCAAACACCTGCAGCCCCACAACCCCCGTCCCCCAGGTGGGTGCCACCGGAGCGCTCCCCCCCAAACTGAGTGCTCCCCTCCCTCAGGGCCCGCAGCTTCGCCGGCTTAGCAAAGGGTTAATCTTTTCTGGATTTAAACCCAATCCTGCTGTGTCGGAGCTTAGAGCCCTCTCCTTAGCCTTGTTCTTTTGATTTTCATGGGGACGAGGGGCTGTAAAGAGCTAGGGGGGGTGTGTGTGTGTGTTGGGGGGGGGGAGGAAGGATGGGCCCCCAAATTCCTCAAGCTCTCAAAGGCCGGTTCCTGCGCTCCAAACCCCCGGGGAACAAACCCTGCCCGGAGAAGGAGCCGGGCACGGCCAGACCCCCCCAAAATCCACCCCCCCCCTTAGTCCCCGGGTGGGTATTTTATAGGGCGAGGCTGTTCCCCTTGTCAGCGCTGCCAGGCGAAAGGGGTGTTACGACCCAGGTGCAATTATTCCTATTAACCCACTCAAGAAGAGGCACAAGTGTCAGGAATCAACCCAAAACCCTGCCGTTACCGAGCTTTTTTTTTGCCCGGAGAGAGGCAGCGCTGCCCTAGGAAGGGGAGATTCATAACCTGCCAGGGTTTGAGTTTGGGTTTAATGTATGTAAAAAATGAGTTTATTTTGGTTTGGTTTGTTTTTTTTTTCTAGACTTGGGCTATAGGAGCCCTCAGCCGCCGTGGCGTGTGAATATTTCAGTTTTACTAAATATAACGCATCAGGTGGAAAGCTCTCAAACACTCATCTTCCTCCGCCCGCCGAAGCAAGCGATCCCCTCGGATTGCTTTTTTTTTTTAAATTTTATTTATTTTTTTTTCCTCTAGGAAACACATCAACCCCCGAGTTATCCCGGGACAAAAAAAAAAGAAAAGAACTAAAATAAAAATATTAAGATGCTCTTAAAAACCCCTGCGGCTCCCGTGCGGGTCGCGCTGCAGCCCCGGTCCTGGCTGCGGGGGGCTGAGGGGACTCGGGGGTGCGGGGGGGCTCGGAGAGGGGTGGGATGGGAAAAGGTAGAAAAAAAAAAAAAAATCCTTCCATTTTCTGCGTGGTTTTAAA